GTGCATGTGCAGAAGCTAGTGTCTGGATAGGAATTAGCGAATTAGCTATCCAAGTGCTCCTAAATAGTTGAAGAAGAATAGTCATTCAGATTTTTTTCATTACTAGGAATAGGAATACTAGAAGACTGCTGGCTTTACGTTTACTTGGGGATGTATTTGCAGCGAATCATGACTGGCTAATGTTATATTAGATTTGGATGCTATTCAAGCAAGAACACTTATTGCTTATTGAGCTGAAAGTTTTTTTTTTTTTTTTTTACGGATATGCGCACTCGCAAGGAAATGTCCTATCACGCTCGAGAAGCGGCAATGAGGTATGCCATTTCAGTAGCAAGCCTCAACCCTTGGCGTAAAATGTATTAGCCGGGTTTAAAACAGTATAGGTTAAAAAAACGAATTCCTAAACGTTATAATCTTGTAAAAATCACATTTTCCACATTCAAAATCGACGAAAAAACAAGCACAACCTGAATCGCAAGCATCCCATCGAGGCTTGCGGGTGACGTCACCACTATAAGAGGTTATGCTGCTAATAGTGGTGACGTCACTCGCAGGCCTTGCCGACTCGAGAATTGGCGAACGTACGCCTTATGAGGATAAACAATCCTATTAGTTTATGATTCTTGCTATTCAAGTAAAAAAAAAATTTGATCAGTTAATCATTAACTGAATAGAGATGTTTTCTCATTATTAGAAAATGGAAATTATTGGCTTCACGTTTACTTGGTGGTCAGAAGCTGAATTGTTTCTGGATAGGACTTAGGTGCTCTAATTGCTCCTGAATAGTCGAAGAAAAACTTGAATAAGTTATCTATTATTTGAATTACAGATTTTTTTTGCATTATTAGGGAACTGCTGGCCTAACGTTTACTTGAGGGTGTAGGTATTTGCAGCGAATCTGATAACAGTGGCTATAATGTTGTATTGGAATTGGGTGCTATTTAAGTGCTCCTGAATAGTCAAAGAAAAACTTGAACTATTCAGAACTTCGACTTTTAGGAGCACTTAAATAGCACCAAATTCTAATAGGTACAACATTTCAGCCACGGTTATCATCAAGATCGCTGCAAATACATTCTTAAGGAAATGTAAAGCCAGCAATTCCCTAATAATTAAAAAAAAAATCTGTAATTTATTTGATAATTAACTGATTCAAGTTTTTCTTCAAATATCAATTCAGAAGCACTTAAATAGCACTAATTCCTATCCATAGCATAGGTAAACATTGTAGCTTCTGATTCACCACCAACTAAACGTGAAGTCAATAATTTCCTAATAATGAAAAAAAAATCTGTAAATAAGTTAATAATTGACCGATTCAAGTGTTTCTTCGACTATTTAGGAGCACTTAAATAGTAGGTACCTGGTACCTACCTTATTTATATCCAGAAACATTTTAGCCTCTAACATACCACCATCAAATAAACGTGAAGCCAACAATTCCCTAATAATGAAAAAAAAAAATCTGTAATTCAATCAATAATTAAGTAACTGATTCAATTTTTTCTTTGAGTATTTAGGAGCACCTAAAAAGCACCTAATTATTATATAGTCCCCGAAGTTTTTTTCCACAATGGGACAGCTAGGTTTATTGAACTAATATTCTCGGAAATCAATAAATAATACAACCCCATACAATTTCAAATCTAGGAAGATAGGTATTTTAGATAAATGTATTATTAACTTTACATTTATAAATAATTTTACATGTCTGTATGGACTCTATGCTTTAATATTAAGTATATATTTCTAGATCTAAACTCCATAGTTAATAAAAATAAAGTTCACCACCATTCACTAAATACATTTTTTAATTTAAATTTAATTTATGTTTATTAATTATCAGCTGATTACACCAGATGTTCCTGCTCCGCGCGCCCGCCGCGTACACAAATCTTTCAACTACTCTTGCTTCGATAATACGATAATACTGGCAACACTGTTTTTAACTTTCCGAAGGCGTTCGGCCAAAATCGTAATTTTAGGAAAAAGTAGAATTAGGACATTTGTGGCGTTCCCATAAATGTCACTTCATCGTTATTACTTCTTCCCCTTTACAAGATGTTGCTACCATATTTCAGATTCAACGTTTCGTCTTTGGGCGGCCATCACCAACTTAATTTTTTTAAATTCGACCCTGGATCTTTTATTTCAGATTTTCAGAGCTTCTGATGTCCCAAAATCTATGACGTATCGCATTTATTCGAAAACATATATTTTTTTACTATTTATTAATTTCCTACCAAAATTCTCTTATCTGTCTCTAACACATTTAGTTCTTATGGAAAGTGCCAATAATATAAATTTTTCGAATAAATGCAATGCGTCATAGGTTTTGGGACATCAGAAGCTCTTAAAATCTGATATAAAAAATAGGGATCCGTATTTAGAAAAATAAAGTTGATGATGATGGCCCAAAGACGAAACGTCAGATTTTAAATTTGATGGTAGCATCTTGTAGGGGAGAAAAAATGGCAATGACGAAGTGATATTTTTTTTGAAATATCACTTCAAATAAAGTCAAGAAAAAATAAAAAGCATTTTACAAAATTTCGGTTTTTTCCGAATATCTTCGGAAGTATTCGGAATTTTTCAAATTTCAAAACGGCATTTAATTGGTCATAAAATTGCGCAACTTTGCCATAATTTAACCGACCTCGTATCTCTCATAGTTTCCGATATCTCAATGGTCACCCTCAAATTTGGGACACCCTCCCTGTACACCAAAATTCTAAGGTGGTTTCCCCTTCGACAAATTTCATGTTCAGAATTGAGTATTATATTCTCGACCATATTCAAATCGTTAAGAATCCAGGCCCAATCATAGGATAAATCATCAGGATGGCATCCCAAATATTTTTTCAAAACAGTGTAAGTATTCACTATCTCAGCCATTGTGTAAGCTTTTAAACTTGTCTTTCACTTCTGGATTATTTCCAGACTTTTGGAAGCAGAGTTATGTCTCACCTATTTTTTAATCAGGGTTAAGAATTGATGTGAAAAATTATCATAGTGTATCCATATTGTCATCTATCTTTAAATGTAAAGGGATTATCGTCGATGAGCAGCACAGTTTTAGAGGGGGTAATTCTATACTAACAAATTTGCTTGTGTACCATAGCAGTCGGATGCCTTGGAGAGGGGAGAATCAAGTCGATGGGGTGTATATGGATTTCTCCAAGGCATTTGATAGGGTAAATCACTTGTTATTGATTTTTAAGTCATAATATGAAACATAGGTTTTTCTGATAGATTACTGATTACTAGAGTGGCTGCTTAGTTTTCTTGGTGATAGAAGGCAAGGGATTAAAATTGGTCATTTTATATCTAAAAGGATTGAGGTATCTTCTGGGGTCCCCCAAGAAGGACACTGCTCTCCGTTACTCTTCAATCTGTTTGTTAATAACCTTAAAAAGGTTTTGAAGTATTGCTAGTTTTTAATATGCGCTGATGGTCTGAAACTTTTTGCATTTATTGCTAGTGAACTAGATAATATCAGTTTATTATAACAAGACCTTAATGACTTTTCTCAGCGGTGTCAGAGTAATTTGTTAGATTTGAATATAGATAAATGTTTTCAAATTTCTTTTGACAGGAAAAAAAAATAGAAGCGTTACACATTCAACGGGCAAAAGCTTAAAATAAATGATGTGGCTAAAGACTTAGGTATACTATTTGATCCTAAATTGAGTTTTAATAATCATACAAACTATTTGGCAGTAAGGGCTAATAGAATGTTAGGTTTTACTCTTAGGAAATGTAGGGGGTTGTCTTTGAAGGAGGTAAAATCAGTATATGCTGGATTGGTGAGATCACAACTTAAGTATGGGTCAATTGTATGGACACCCCAGTATAATGTCTATAAGTAATTGCTGAAGAGTTTCCAAAAAAAATTCTTGAAATATTGTACCTAACGAGGTAATTACATTTTAAATCCAAATCTCATTGCTAACTATGACTATTCTCAAATAGATATTAGATTATCTTAAGCTGCTTCCATTGGACAAAAGGAGAATAAGGTTTGACATTTGCTTTACATTACACTATCACGAGTTAAATCTTTAATTCCCCAGAAAGTCCTTAGACAAAATAGTTTATTTCTAAAAGAAAAACTCGAAGTCTTCCTCCACAAATATTTTAATAAATTAAAATTAATAGGAGCCCAACCAACATGTTTCGAGATTATTAGAATCTCATCATCAGGGGATATACTCCCGGACTAGAGTAGCTTGATCAGCAAATTTTAAATTGAAGAATTAGTCCATTTCTCAAAGTGGAGGTGAAATGGAATTAAATTTTCACTTTCTTCCACATAATTCATTCAAAATTTCATCCTTTTTTTGAATAATTTCCAGAACTATGTACGTGCTAACTGCTAACTTATGTCTTCTTGTTGTAATTCATTTAAATCATTTCTATGAGGTTCTTGTATTTTCATCTCGATTTTCATACATCCAATGAAAACTGATTTGCTCACTCATCTAGAAACGTTGCTCTTTCCTCAGGGGTTATTAATCCCATAATTGTCTTTTTCTATTTTGGTGTCATATCGAAGTCTTTTCGACACTAAAAGTAGTTTCGAAAAGAAGCTCTTTGTGACACTCCTTTTTTACTTATCGGAGGTTGGTAACACTAGCTGATTGATGGCCATTGAACTGTCATTCGCGATAAAAAATAATAGAAGATTTCTATATTTGGCATGTAGTGTTGCCAACCTAAACATATGAAATCAGGAAATATGAGAATAAAATTTCCAAGAAAAGTTTGTTTTATTCAATTAAACAATACCAAAATAGAAAAAATAGTATATAAATATTCGTTTCATAAGTCATTTTATCGCACTCGCCCTTTAGAAAACTCGCCTCCGGCTCGTTTTCTAATATAGGGCTCGTGCGATAAAATGACGTCTTATGAAACTTGTATTTTAATGTACTATTTTCTATTTCATATCAATCATAAATGACAAGATTTTTAATTTATGAACTGATTATTTATTTCAGAAATGTATTTGTGGCATCGAAAAATTCCATTCTACAGTACAACACCAAAACAGGAAAATTAGTTTACTCCTACAAAGGATGGGATACCGATATCGTAGGACTAAACTTTGGTATCATTGACAATTTAGGATGTATTGCGGCTTGTTCCAAAACTGGAAAAGTTATTATTTGGACAATCACAAAACGAGTCAAATTGTATGAAGGGGTAATCATTATTTCAATATTTTTTGATGACGATTATTAATTATGCATTGTTTTTTCTTAGAAAATTCCAAAACAAAACATAATTTTCTTTCAACTAATAACGTGGGACTTGGCTAATGAACTAAACGTTTTGATGGGGTTTAAAAAGAAGACCGAAATACGTTTTTCCGTGAGGAACATTAAGCAGAAATCAGAAGAGCAGAGGAAAATAATTTTTAAAATTCCCAAACAAAAATGCTATATCGATGTGTGCCAAGACAAGTATTTTTCAGTTGTTGCTAAAAATACTGTTTATTTTGTTAACTTGCAAACATTGAAAGTTTCTAGGTAAGTTTTTGTCTTGCACGAATACATTTTTGTCATGCAAATAGTTTCTTTCAGACACTCTATGCAAGAAAACAACAGAAAATTCACATGCGTATCTTGTCATCCGAAAGACGAAACAGTTTTAACAGGAGACGACACAGGACGTATAGTCATGTGGCAAAATATATTTTCCACCAAAAAAACCCAGGCAATTTACCATTGGCACACCCTGCCTGTAAAATCGCTAGCATTTTCAACATTGGGCAGTTACTTTTACAGCGGAGCCGACGAATCCGTCCTTGTCAAATGGCAATTGGACAATCCGAACCGGAAGCAGTTTTTGCCAAGGCTTCCGGCTGGTATTTGTCAGTTAACAGTGTCTGATAATAATGCCTATACTGCTGTGGCGACAACCGATAATGCTGTGAGGATTGTGGACTCGAGGATGAACCAAATTAGTCTCATACAGCATTTGGTTTTGGGTAATCAGTTTGAAAGTGGGATTATTTACGATCCTATAACGAGGGCCTTGGTTATGAATGGCAACATTGGTTGTGTACAGTTTTATTCGCCCAATGACATGTCTTTGTTGTATAATGTAAGTGATTTATTGATAGTTCCAAAATGTGCTCTTTCAAATAAGAAACTTCTAGTTTCTGACTCAGAATTAGCCCTTAACTTAGTACATATTTACTTTTATAGGTAGACATAGTAAATCAAAATAAAATTACCGATGAAAGAGAATGTAAACTAGAAAACACTGACGTTCAAAAAATAGCTTTGAGTAAAAGTGGTAAATGGCTGGCTACTGTAGAAGAAAGAACCGAACTCAATGTTTGTAAAGAAATCAGACTCAAATTCTGGCATTTTAATAGTGAAAATCAGAGGTGAAACATTGAATAAAAATTTTGGATAAATTAAAATAGTTTATTTTTCAGTTATGAGTTAACAACTTCTGTAGAGTTTCCTCACGAGTCATCGATCAATTCCATAGCGATACAGCCGTCAATTGAAGAGGACAATTTGAAATGTATCACTGTGGGAAATGATAAAATGTTCAAAATCTGGCAATTGTTTCAAGTCACTTCTGTTCACAGTAAGTATTCTAGACAAAATTAATATTTTGTTTTCAAATTGATTATAAAAAAGTCAACTTTTTGTTCATCCAAATTGTGTTGTTTCTATCAAATCAAAAAAAGCTTTATTGATTGGAAAATTATACATCTTATTATAAAAGTAGTTCATACAAGCTTATTCTAATGTAATAAGCCATATTGAATATTGAATAAAATGGAACAAGAACAAATCTAGTGTATCAGTGGAACACTATAGTAAAACTATAATTTGAAAAGTCATCAATTGAGTAGAAGGCCTTGGAAAACAGTACAGCTTTGGGTTCTCTTCTTAATTTTATAAACCTTGATTCACTCGGATATTTTACGGTAAGTGATTGAATATTTTCTTACTGTTGTAAAATATTGAATTTTGTGTTAGGGTGTAAAATGGAATCGGTAAGCTCATTTTGCATGTTTGTCTAGTGTTGTATACAGAGGAAGAGAATTTCAAGGAAAATAGTTTGTCACTGTTCTTGAAAATAAATAAAATCTATTACATATTTTCATCTACCGTTTGACGGGCTATAACTTTTTCAGAGAGCATCTTAGGGCATATGTTCATAGGAACTTTTTTTCTTATTTTCATATGTAGTATCACGTTAGCTTAAGAAATATTAAGAGAGAGTACATTTGCATCCGTCCACTCCTTAACCCTAATAAGATCACTCCTTGCGTCCGCTTCCAGCTCTACAGGATTTTTATTCATCCAAAGTATTGTAGAATCATGGCCATTTAAGGGTTTTTCCTTTATTTTAATTTCAGTTAATTCCTTAATGTACAGGGTGGCCCATTTTCGATGTTTTAATAGGCTATATCGAAAACCAGCAGAGATATCAAAAATCTGGGAGCACATACTCAAGCTCTTTTTTTGAGAAAATAACAATGGCGAAGACAAATCACGGCTAACTTGATGCGTTTAGGAAATACAGGGCACTTTCCAAATTTTGTCCAATTTTGAAAGAATCTCTAATTTCCTTATTATTCAAGATATCCAAAAACGAAAAATACTTTCTATAGGCAGTTTTTCAAGGAGAATCCAGTGGCATGACCAATTTTTATCCAGATGCCTCCGATTTTGAAATATTGACCAAAGTTGTGTTTTTTTAAATGGGACACCCCGTATATTATTCTTTTATTGAATAGCTCTTTGTGAGCTGATTTCAATGATATAAGATTTTATACCTTTACCTTCTATAGTTTTGGGGAAAAAAAAATTAATTCTGTTTTTCCATAAGAAACAATGAGCTAGAGAGAGATAAGTCATTAAATAAATTATTTGTTGCCTTTTTATCACCCCCCGATTCATAGTTCAAATTAAAAAGAAATTAGCTGAACTGAAAAATTAAATTAAGAATTAAGAAATTTGTAGCCGATTCATAGTTCAACTATCTCTTTCCAACTCGTTGTTTCTTATGGAAAAAAGGATTTTATTTTTTTTCTCCAAAACTATTGAAGGTAAGGGTATAAAACCTTATATCATTGAAATCAGCTCACAACAACAAGCGTGACTACGATCCTTCAATGAACATTTTTAGTAAATCAAATCATATCCAGTTTTTTAATTAAATATAAATGGAGGAAATCGTTTGTGACCTAGCAGACAGAATGGCTAATGTAAAAGTTAATTAAAAGGTTGGACATGATTAAAATTCAAACCTCAGAACTCTAGATTCAGGAATCACCGGAGGTTTCCGATTTTTAACTAGCAGGTTGAGCGAAACACTTGACTGGGTAAAAATGAACTTAAGACCTGGCTTCTAGGCTCAAATCTTAGTCGAGTCTAACCCAAACTCTGCCTTAACTTTAAAGTAGCTACGTATTCTGTCTGTTCTGCCACGATATGGACTTTTATCACACTAGTGTAGTAAGAAAAGAAGTGGATTTCAAATCATGAAAACTTTTATTGGAAACAAAAATTTAACGGAAACTAACTAGGTAGATCAAATAACTTGTGAACCAGTAACATAAATAAATAAAAATCTAACAAATACCTACCTAATCAAACATATCTAGTAATACAGTTGATAGTAAGAGCTTGAGCGTGAGCTAATTTTTCCAGTGGCTTAGTTAACAAAAAGTTTGGACCCAACTAGTATTTGAATCTCTCTATATATAGATTATCAGGCTTAAGGCTTAAGTTGGGTTTATACAGACACATAACAATCATAACCATAACATAATATAACATAAGATAAAAAGTTGACCTTATGGAAACCCCTTATGGGCATGGCGTTAATACATAAAATAACATAACATAAGAAATAAGAAAAATGGTTAACTTTTAACTTTTAGTCTTATTTTATGTCAAGATTTTATGTGAAAACGGATCTGCGCATGCTTTTCCCTTGATGTCAACATTTGCCAGAGTATTTAACAAAATATTTAAAACGAAACACAATTATGTTCATTTTGGTTCCGGCTTTTGGTAATTTTTTGGAATTCGTGAGTCTACTGAATTAGTAATTAATAAAACTTTTAATTAGCTATTCTAGCTGGGTTCGGCTATTCAGCGCGGAGTTGGAGTGGAGTGAACAGAGCTAATGGAGTCACCCCTAATACGGTAAAAAGCTATACCCGAACCTTAACCCGAATGGCTGGAGTGCAAATGAAGTCACTCGGAGTGCACGGAGTGAGCAAGCCGAACCCACCTTCTGTCTGCTAGATCACAAACGATTTTCTTTATTTAAAGGTGAGGGTCAAAATATAGTTATCGTACAGGGTGGTCATTTTATCTTGATAACATTTTAAACTGTCATAATTTCTTTATTTTTAAAGTTATTTGAATAATAGTTGTTTTCCAAGTTTTTCATAGGTTGGACAAAAAATAAAAGACTAATAGATTTTGACAGGTTTGCACACAAATAGCATTTTTTGAAATGGAACACTCAGTAAATTTCAACTGAAAATATTGATTACCTACACAGATTACCTGCAAAGGTAGGTTGGTAGAAATAATTTTTCCTTAAAATCAATATTCAATAAAACACACTTCTGCATGTAAATATGTATAGTGTAAATTGTATTTAAGTGTATTGCATTGTATAAATTGCAATCAGAATGGAATATATTATCAAACAATTTGAAAATTTACTGTGTGTTCTATCCAAAAAAATGCTATTTGTGCGGCTAACTGTCAAAATATATTAGTCTTTTGTTTTTTGTCCGCCCTATCTAAAACTTGGAAGCCAACCCTACAGTATGTTTTTTTATTTATTTAAATAACTTTATTGTCTTTATTCAAAAATAAATAAATTATAACAGTTTGAAATGTTATCTAAATAAAATGACCACACTGTACATTAAAAATACAAAGGGTCCAAGGACAGAGCCCTGTGGTACTCCAGATTGAATCTACATCTCACTTGAAAGCTCATTCTTAAAATCCACACTTCCAACCCGCGCAGACAAGTAAGATCTGAGCCAGTCCAAAGCCACAAGCCCCTAACGCCATATCTTTTTAGTTTCCTCAGCAGTATGATTGACCATTGACGCGATCGCAAACCTTCGATAAATCACAAAACACTGCTGCGATTACCTATTCTTCATTATTCCTTACATACAATCCTCCCAGGTGGCCGATCCTCGGGCCAGGGAGTAGAGCTCCCCGATAGAACGAATGTTTTGTCCTTGTCAACGTAATCGAAAAATAAACGAGAATGATAAAGACGAAAATTTTGTTCTCTCGGGGAGTTCCACTCCCTGGCCCGAGGATCGGCCCGCAGAAAGGAAAATATAAACATAGCATCATTTGTTCCTGAAATCCGAACTGTTCAGCGTAAAGTAAGAGCGTGGTTCTAGAGCTACCACGTCTGAGAGGCAGAGGGGAAAATTCCACTTGAAAACTCGGTTAGTAAGTGCTAGATATCATAGGCATGCATAGTGTTATTTTTTTTAAAAAGATTAAAAATTATTTTTCACGTTGTGTTTGATTTTCCGTGTATATTTTCCATAAATGAAGCTTGGATTTTTAAAATTTCAAAATTTGTCGACTATACAGGGTGTCCCACGGTAGATGGCGTATTAGACGTTAATGGAAAACTAAAAATCTGATCATCCTGAAAAATTGGCAACCGGGATAAACGACCATGATCTACATTTTAAAAATATTTTTGTTTATACAGTGTTGCCGCTTCTACTCTAAACCAGTGGCAACATCGCTATTTTAAATGGAACACCCTGTATGTGATTACATATTTGGATTCTATTTAAAATTCTGAGCAGATTTCATGTGATATAGCCTATACCTAAGTTCAACTGTTTTGGAAATATTGACAGTTGAAAATTGACTTTTTGCAACTTTGACAGGCTGTAAAACCTGAACGGGTAATTTTAGAGGAAAACCGATTTTACATTCCTATCTTAGATTTTCATAAACTATCATTTGACACCAACTTTGAATTTAACCGGAGATTAAATTTACTTGGAATTTTTAATTATGGATTAAATCCAAAGTTGGTCTCAAATGATAGTTTATAAAAATCTAAGATAGGAATGTAAAATTGGTTTTCCTCTAAAATTGACCGTTTAGGTTATACAGCCTATTAAAGTTGCAAAAAGTCAATTTTTAACTGTCAATATTTCCAAAACAGTTGAACTTAGGTATAGGATATATCACATGAAATCTGCTAAGAATTTTATGTAAAATCCAAATATGCAATCACATACAGGGTGTTCCATTTGAAATAGTGATGTTGCCACTGGTTTAGAGTGGAAGCGGCAACACCGTATAAACAAAAATATTTTTAAAGTGTAGATTATGGTCGTTTATCCCGGTTGCCAAATTTTCAAATTGATCCGCTTTTTAGTTCTCCATAAACGTCTAATACGCCATCCACCGTGGGACACCCTGTATTGGCTATAACCTCTCTTGTCTCTTGTTTGGCTATGAAGAGCTTTTCCCTGCATTTATTTATCCATAATATTTAACTCCTCGCTACGCCACGCCACTGGATGAAACATGAAACCTTGATCGAACAAAGAA